CAGATTTCTACATTCTCCGTTTTGGAATCAAGAATAACAATTTGGCTTATGTTGGAGTTATTTTTGCCATTCTCCAATACTGGGATCTTATTCTCATCTAACCATGAAATGGAACCCGCTGTTGAATTTTTAGTGACTTTAGGTTTCCATCAATATTTTTAAGATCAATTTTCTCTTGTCTAGACCAAAGCTCCATTCTCTTCTTGACGTTTACCTTTGTTTCTTCAAGAATTTGATTCTTGGAAGCCCCCTTCAATGCCTACTACAGATTCTTCAACTACTTCCCTATCTTGATTGGATGAAGGAGATCGTCCCATTTTCCCAATAATCTTTTGATACTCTTCTAATGTGAACCCTTGTTTATGATTGAGTACTCGAAGCATAACGTTGATAATACATCTACATTTGTACATTGATACATCCAATTTGTGATAGCCTTTATTTCCTTTTGCAGCCAACTGATCTTAAAATCTTTGAGCTTGTAATTCAATTTGTCCCTCCAATTCATCCATATTAAAGTCACCCCATTGGATTTGATCTTCCAAGAATTGATAGATGATGTTATCATCCATTGGTAAAATCCAACAAGTCCATAATTTGGAAATCAATCCGAAATGTTGGTGGATTAATGGTGTCAGTTGAAAAATTACATAGAAGGAATCGGAGAAAAAATTAGGACGATTAGGAGAAAGAATTGAACAGGGAAGAGAAAGAAGAAAGAATCAGTAATAGGAAGAAGAAAGGAGCAGAGATAGAACAAAAGGAGAGGAAGGGAATAAAGAAACAAAGATGAAGAAAGATCTCACAATTGCTGGGTTCCAAAAGCTTCCATTCGAGGATCGGAAGGTTTGATACCAATTGTAATGACTAGGGCTAAAGAATTAAGGAATTGAAAAAGACAGAAGGAGAGGAAAAAGAAGAAGCATCAAGGAAGAAGAGAATAGAAAGGATAGGAAAGGTAAAGTTTAGAATAAGAAGAGAAAAGAGTAGAATTTATTGTTTTAGAGAAGAGATTACAATTCACATACAAACTGTTCTTCATTATATTCCAAATCTCCTATATATAGATTCAGCTTATAAAGTAGTTACACGCAATTAACATTTCTCTTGCAATTAATTGGTCTAATTATTAGATTGGGTCATAACGTAACTCACCTTCTTTAAGTCCATTGGTGAAGCCTTGAAATGCGAACTTGTAGGAAGAGAACAGATGAGAGGTAGAGATAGTCCTACTGGGCATGTCAGAACTTTTGTATGCACAAATTTCATTGCCTAAAATAAAAGACAAGAAAACTTGCACAAAATATCAAATATTTTGAAAATTCTTGAATCAAAGAAATTAATTCCTTGATTCTTCTCTTCAAAAAACTTCAATCAAAGGGTCGAAGAGAATTGTTCTTCGATTAAGAGGGTATTTGTTACAATTTAGGCGTAGAAAACGAATGATTTGATGATGGCGTTGAATACTTAAATATTTAAGTCTTCAATACGGATGGAAGGAGAATTTGTTTAACTTGAATCTTTAAGTCTTTAACATGAACAAAAGGAGGATTTGTTTAACTTTATTTGGATTTAGATTTGAGGGAAAAAACTCTTGAGAGAATTTGACAGAGTTTCTTCAAAATTTAGCAATTTCAATGTGTCTTTTGTCTTGAGGGAAGACCTTTATTTATAGCAAAAATATGTAATCTATATCTTCAAGAAAACCCTCCAAAATCTTTCAGCATTTTGGGTGACTTGTAACTCGAAAAACCTATTTAATTTGAACTTAAATAGTGGGTTGATCCAAATAATCCATTATGAATTAATAAATCAATTAATCCACTTCAATTTAAGTAGACATTACAAATTTGATTTGATTTAAAAGTCCATTTAATACTGATCCAATTCATCAATCCAAAACTTAATGGACTTCCATAATTTACTTTAATTTAGATCAATTTAATTTAAATAAATCTTGACTCAATAAATTAAATAAATTTTATTGATAAACCCATAGGAATGAAAAGAATTATGTTAGAAGAATTTCCATCTACAAGTGGCCTAATTCGGTTCGAATAGAATTAGTCACAGTTTTTATCTGCAAAGGTCCCGACTCGATTTGAGTAGGATTAGTTGTAGATCGTAAAACGGATACGAATACCTATTATTTATACTATAATTTTTTTTATCATGTCATAACTTGGATTCCTAGGGAAAGAGATTTTCTTGCAAAAAGGAAGTACTTATGCCGATGACAAGAAAAAAGCCCGAGAATGGTCGAAATCCTGAAAATTATGCTGATGGATAAGACTTAATAGAATAGTAGACAACAGGAGTAGCTTTTTTGTGTTGTATCAATGAGGTAGTATCAGTATCACGCAAGGGAATTGGATCAGTAAGTAGTAGACGAGGCAAAGAGGTTATATCAATTGACTTCAACGTTTGATAAAGGGTCAATAAAGGATAAAGATAAGTTACTCCTTTACCATTCTCGGGCCTTGAGCCCCACTTTATTATTAAGTTACTGGGCCTTGGTCTAGTGGCTATCAAGAAAATTTAAGTTTGTTTTTGGGATATCAGTTAGAGTTCGAACCCCATCAATATCATTTCCATCAAGGAGCACCAATAGCAGGTAAGCACACCACAGGGGAACAACAGTAGAAGGCGTTTCCCCTTCTATCACCATCCCCTTCCCAAGACCACTCCTTGTAATAGAATATCATTTTTTTTTTTTTTTAAAAAAAACCTCCATCGAGTCTTCACAATGTTTGATTGGGAACCTCAAAAACACGTATCTCAAAAATATCTTTTATTTGTTTTCAATTACTTTTTATATTTTTAAAAATCAAATCACAAAAACTATTCTAAAAATTAAAAAGTATCTTTTATTGTTTTTCAATTATTTTTTGACATTTTATAAAAATTTCAAAATTTGTTTTGTCCAAACACAAATATTTAAGGTTGGACTAAAATAAAACTTTGGCTTGCCTCCATTACAATAGTGCAATACTTTCATGTGCATTATAAGTACGAATTAAATAACACGTACATTGTAATATTTAGCTTCACAATTGCTGTTCATAATAGTTAGCTATTTCCTTTATCTCACTTTGATAGTCTTGTTTTTCTTTTTTATCTATCTCAAATTATAGTTCACTTTCTAATTAAAAAATATAATTAATTTTTAGCTTCTTTAAAATGCCTTTATTTAATATACTTTGTTATTACTGAATATAATTTACCTTATTCATTAATTACTTTGATTCATGCATTGAATGATGCAACTTTTCATCAATATTGTTATTGCAATTAATGTAAAGGTATAATGATTAGTTATACTACTAATATTAATGTAAGGGAATTTTAGAAAAATAAAAAGTTAGATTTACTCTTCAATAAAGCTAACTAATTGTTCTGAAATTGTGTGAAAAAAAAAAAACCAATACTATCAAAGTGCTACCGAGAGAGCAGTAAAAGTTAATATTGAAGTCTCATTAGAAATTCTAGGCAAAATTTACTGTTCGTAGTAGTTGGTAAAAATTTATTCTGATGTGTCATTATACCCAACAAATTTTTGGGTTCTGATGAGTTGTTTACCTCAAAGCCAATAGGTCATTGAATAACTGTGTGTGTGTTATTAAACAATGACACAGAGAGTTAGAAGTACTCTCTACGCAAGTTACTCTTTGGATCTAGAGTTTTTCAAAAACTAGTTTTTCATTTTTCAAATATAATAAAAATTTTTAAAAAGTATTTTAAAAGATAATCTAAAAATTAGTTTAATTTTTTTTTAAATTTTAAAAAATATATTCTACAAACTCTTCTACTCTTAAATATCTCAAAATATTTTCTAAAAATATCCCAAAATATAATCTAAAAACTTCGCTACAGCAAATTTTTTCAAAAGATTCCAAATTGAAATATTTTCACAACCAATACTTAATTTGTTAACATTTGCAAGAATTATATGTACTTCTAAAATTAGTTATTGCCAATTATAAGAGAGATACTTTAGCAATAATTGAACTTGCCCAGCACAGCAATAATTGAGATTGCCCAGCACTCTGGTGCACTTGTAGAAGTCAAATATTGCCACATCTTATCATTCATGTCTGTTTAACGGGTGTTCATTTGATACTCGTTAAAATATACTTCATGTGTTAGATTTTTAGAAAGATAAAATTAATTAAAGAAAATAAAAATTAAAATATGCCAAATTTGCATTCCCTTAAAATTAGAATTATCGGATGAGATTTTATGTTTCCTAATTGTGACAAGGTTTTATGTCCCAATATCGCGAATCTTTTATGTCCCAATATCAAATAAACTCAATAACAAAATAGTACAATAATAAAATCTACTAATATCAAAGAATGCATTTACAATTTCAAAAGCTAAAAAGCTCAAAGAAATTTGAGAAAACTCCATGTAGAGGAGTAAATGACTTTGCAGTATCCTTTTTTTTTTACCCTCCCCAAATAACAACGTAATATAGGTATAAAACATGGTAAGTAAGAGCAAAGAGTTGCCATGAAAGCTAATGAAATAATAAATGTGAATATCTATTCATCCTCCAAAGGAGATAAATTGAAATATGTACATTTATATAATTCTTGTAGTTTGTTAGTTTATTTTAAAAACTTTTCAATTCATATATTTAAACTATTAAATTCATGTATTTGTATTAATTTTGGTGTATATTGCTAGTCATAATTTCGGTGACATAGTTGCAAGAAAGAATTATTCTCTTTATGATCTTCTTGTCTCTATATTTTTTATTCCCACTGTTATCCGTTTATATTTTATTAATTTTACAGCAAGGGTGTGTTTGAATTGAATATTATTTAAAAAAAATTTACTTATTAATATTATAAAATATATTTTTCTATTATCTTTTTATCCCATAAATTCACTGAAAATATACTACAATAATTATTCCAAAAAATTTCTCGATAGTCTTCTATCAAATTAAAACTAAAAAACAAGAAAAATAAATAATCAAACAAGTTTTTCACTACTCAACTTATTCGGGAACATTTCCAGCGCCAAAAACCCCAAATCGCAAAACCAAACCTCCCCATCACCGGCGAACCCTCCTGAGCAGTTTCCGGGAACCAGCTCCGGCGAATGGACGGCGGGCAAAGGGGTCGTCCACCCACTGGGCCTTCACTTCTTCCGGATGAACTCCTTTGCGAGATTTTCACAAGACTCTCCGCCAAAACTCTCTCCAAAATCAGGTGTGTTTCGAAATCATGGCTTTCTATAATCTCTAGCCAAGAATTCGTAAAATCCCATTTCAAAAAATGGGATAATGATGATGAATTCACCCACCATAGCATCATTGCAAAGTATATCAACCCACATTTGCAGGTGAAGCAATGCTCAGTTTACTCTTTACTGAAAAATCCCGCAACTCCTGCAGCTAGAATTGATTATCCTGGGGAAAATCCCCCACATTCCGCTTCGGTTGTGGGTTCTTGTAATGGGTTGATTTGCATTTTGTTAGATGAACAAGATTTGTACCTGTGGAACCCATGTACTAGACAATCCAGAAAACTGTCTGATCCAGGCTTTACTGGGAATTCCCGTTCGTTTAATTTTTATGGCTTTGGGTATAATGAGTCCAATAATGATTATAACGTAGTTCTAGGTTCGATTAGCAGTGTTGAAAGGAAGATTGAGGTTGTGATTTATAGTCTAAAGACTGATTCTTGGAGCATGATTGATAATTTTCCCACTTGTCTTCCTTGGTTGGAAACTGGGGCATTTGTGAGTGGGAAACTCCATTGGGCTGTATCTAGTTGTGTGTGCGATTGTGATGCGAGAGTTGTTTCTCTTGATCTTGTGCGACTTGAATATGGAGAAGTACGGCTTCCTGGATGTGTGGAGGATGCTTCCGTTTTGACACTCGGTGTTTTAGGGAAGTGCTTATGTGTAAGCATTTTGTATTGCTACCAGCCGAATGTGATATGGAAGAAGAATGTGGGTTTATGGGTGATGATGGAGTATGGAGTGGTAGAGTCTTGGATTAAGGTAGTGAGCGTGCGGCCATATCATGCACCATTGTGTATCAGTGCCAAAGGTGAGATTTTGCTGACATCTTCATCTGACTTTGGATTGTACAATTTGGGAGATGAGTCAATGAGATATCCCAGAATTGAAGATGTGGACGATGTCTATCTTGAGGGACATATCTATGTTGAAAGTCTGGTTTCACCCTTTGCTGATGAAGAAAGGCTACATGACCAGCAAAGATGAGTATGGTAAGAACAACCTATGTAATCATTGTAAGAGTAATTATAGGTTGTAACATGTTTTCTTTTCCTGTGCATTATGCAAGCTATTTGTTGCTTATTCTGCTTTTCATGGCTCTTGTGTAGAATAGAGATAGTTTATTGTGCCCTGAACATTAATGAATGAGGAAACAAAGTATAGAGGATTAATTTCAATTTTTTTTTTGCCATGCCATAAATAACCTCTTTTGAATTTTTTAGGATGGAAATTCACTGGGATCTGTTTCAACATTATAAATAATCTAAGAGATGATTTTCTTGGGGATTCAATAGAATGATTTACAAGATACTTGTATATTCCAAGTTGTGGGTATTAATCTTGGTCAGTATCTCTGGCATTTAATCTCTCTACTTTAAAACATCATCTCTAGTTCTTGAAATATCCCTCCTAGTAACGTATGATTGAACCATCCTTCTGCTTATTTCGTTTTGCAGATAATCCCATTTGTAAAATAGCCAAATACCTTTCAATAGCTAATTTTCTCTTCAATCCTTCCTGCCAACCCATACTGCCTGCTGCAGCCTTCCCCCACCCTCCTCCAATATCCAACTTCCTCCCTCCTCAAGCCAGTAGCCAGATATTACTTCTGAAACCTTCACTCTTCAGAACAGCTGAGCCTCAACACAAAGAGCTGGCAGAGCCAGCAAGAACCCTCCCTGTTGCTGTCCCTTTTTCTTGTATGCCAGTTCCCCTACTCTCCCATGTCTTCCAGAAATGCTTGGGTTTTAAATAACTAATTAATGGCCTCCGGGTTACTTGTACTGCCACTTTTGCCATTATGCGTGGTTTATTTTTTTTTTCCTTTGAGCCCTTTTTCTTCAAAGCGAACTCGAACTCATTGTTTTCATTGTGTGTCCAGAATCTAAATGCATATACTCTTCCTTCTGGCCATTGCTTTAGTCCATGGAAATGCCGTTTAATTTTTTTGGTTTGACATTCACAATGTTAATGAATTCTAAACAATATGAACTTACTTCGATTTCAGTTTGTTTAATATTACATGTATTATTGAAATTTCTTACACAAATAGAAAAAGTAGCTGGGAAAAAGTTGCTCCTTTGTGACATTATGTGGGATCCATCTTGGTTTGTAATTTTGTAGATCTATAAAGTACTGCTGGAACTGTCTGAGAAATGGTCATAAGATGTCTTCATCTATTTATGTACCTCAAATATGCTGCTTTCACCACCCTGGCACCTCGTTTCTGAAACTTCATTAGTACAGTCCAGAAACTTTGATGATTCTTGTTGCTGGTGTATACTTAAGACTCAAGCTTCAAGTACACCCACTGACCAAATTCTCTTAGTTGCGAGTTTTCACCACAGTTTATTAGATGATACTTGAGCTTTGATGATGACCAGGATTTCATGTAATTAACATCTTAGTTGTTTACAAGTTTGCCCATTTTGTAGGTTAGAGATTACTGATCCAGTTGAGAGAATGATGCTTAATATTTGTTGGTCTTTCTCCAAAAGCTATAATTTGAGTCATCTTTCTTAGAGTGCACCATATGTGACAGTCATGAAGAAGTTGAAAATATTTAGAATCAAAACTAGCATAGTTGAAAGAGATAAAATGGTCTTGAAGCAGGAGGAAGACTTTGATGAAAAAAATCGTTAAATGTGGTCAAAAGAGATTGGCCTTTTGAAAAGTTTTTGCTTTGTACTGTTGCTCAATTCATATACAGAAGCTTGCATGTTTTCTGCTCCTTCATTGTCCTGTTGGCGGCTGCTGTTCTTCATGGATGAAGATTTGCAGATTCTCTCTGTGCCATATTTGCTTTAGATTGTTGTTTTGTATAGTGGTAAGCTTTGGTAGATATCATATGAAAAAATCTTTTCTGTTCAATTGGTATTTCTACTCAAGTGGAACTGACTACATGATTTTCTTTGATGTTAAGATTTTTAGTTTGACATTCTCGATTCTTGCTGGCAAAAATCAAACTTCCAGTTAGTTTTTTCATGAGTTAATTTTAGTTAATTATTGATGTCATGAAAGTTGCATTACCTTATCTTGTCCAAGACGAGATAAGTGACAAACTCTTCATCTGACGACATCTATCATTTGCTTCCTTCCAATTTTTCTGGTTGGGCTCTTTTAGAGGTAGCTGGTTTCTGACATAAATAGGAAGCATGTGTGAGCGGAATTCTATGAAGTTTGAATGAAAATTTTGTAGCTGCCTTTGAGATGAATATTTGTTGAAATCCTCATGAAATAGCAGATATTTGTGCTGTATGAATAGGCCTTCAAATGGTAATTGAAAATCAAATTCCAAAAGTACTTGTATTATCTTACTCAAAAGCTCACAGATTGAACCAGCTTCTACCAGGAACTGTCGAGATGGAAGGCCTGGTGGGAGCACTTGTGCTGGACTGCCAAAAAATGATGGAAATTATCCTACTTCAGAAGCAAATACTATGCAGGGGGAAACTTAACAATATTGCTAGACCTTTGGCTAAGGCGGGGATATCTTTTGTCTGTACTCGCAATGAAGCATGTTTTTTAAATGTGGAGTTTGTAGTGTGGATGTATACTCTTGTTACTGTTATTAATGACATTCCTTTTTTAATTTTGGAAAATAAACGTGACTTTTCTTAAATCTTAAATTATTGGCTCTGAGAATGAATTTTTTCCTTTTACTCGAAAAAATTTGTTTTTTCACTGAGAAAGTAAATTTGATATTCACATTAAAAGAATTATTACCATCCAGTCTTAAAGAGTGTCAGAACATCTGAGAGTCCATCATGCGTTGGTGCTAGAGATGGTGGGCAGTATCAATCTTAGTTTTGAAGTTTGGATATCTTCTTATGATTACTTGGAGCTGTAACCACGCAAGTGTCGTTAACTTAGAAGTACCTTGCCTGTGTGCTATCAGACATTTGATAACAGCTTCTATGCTTGTTCTTGTATGGATGACGATGTTTAAATTTCTATTTTTCCACACTTTCTAGTTTTGGTTTTTCTTTCCTTTGAAATCTAGATTGTGTGAATTTATTCCCCTTAAGTTTCGAGCATATAAAATTTTGGAGACTACAGCAGGGGGGAAGGAGTTTTTGCTGGTTTCTTAGTAATTAAAGCTTGGTGTTAACCGAAGGATGGTTGTCTTTGGGTTGCCAAACTTGCAGAAGGAAACTACAGCAGTGTGCTAAGCTTTCAAAGGATTTTGAAAGATTCTTCTAAGAACCAACTTCCCTAGCTGTAAAATATTTGTAATATTGTAGTAATTTCATATGCATAATACGCAGTATAAATTGTAGATTTAAATAGTGAGATGTTTCTGCTGTTTTGAAAATAGTAGTCCATTTTCTGTCTCGATGCCCATGATTTTACTTTCTGGATTAATCCTTGGGGGATATTAGCATCCTTTTGAGATTGATGATCCCAGTATATGTATATACTTGCATTTGATTTGGCAACTGAGACATTTGAATTTTGAAGAGACATCATATTGAAGGTGGTCATGTTTTGTTGTCTCATAGGGGTTCTAAGAGAATGTGTCTGTTTGTGATCCAACTTCAAGTATGAGGTAGATCAAAGGGATGTATGGTATTGAAGGAGAATGGAGTCAATTGTGAAGCCTGGACTAAATTATTCACAGCTCTCAAGACGACAGGATCAAAATTTGATTTTCCTATTTTGTCTATAGGTTCCTGATACTTTCTGAAGAAGGGGTTCTTTAAAATTTTGCCTTGATTCTCCATTAGTAGTGAAATGCAGAGCATTGCCAGTCTTGGAAGCAGTTGAATCTGTATTTCTGTTTTTGTTATTATCAATTGCTAGAAAGTCGGCCTTAGCACATAAAATGATTTGATAACCAAAATAAGAGGAGAGCAAGAGTTGAAATTGGGCAATGGAAATTGCACGTTGATTTTTACAGGCCTGAAAACCATCAAACTCATTCGCGCAGCAAAAGTCTGAAATTAGGATTGTTCCTCATTGCGCAATGGAAGAGTACTGGATTTGCTTTATGTTAATTATATGCATGCTATTTGTTCAACTTTAAGTTAACTATGAATTTTGTCTTGAAATGGTAAGGATGGAAATCAAACTCATAACTGGTTTTTTAGCACTATATATGAAGGATCTCTCGTTACATAAATACATCTTGGAGTGCTACACAATACACTAGCTCTGATCATTCCTATTTGTAGTAGATCACTGCAATGAAAAAGACCCATAGATACGAAAAAAGTGTACATGTTTATTGCCCTTAATGGGATGTGTGTTTATTGCTTCTAAGAAATAGACAGGAAACAGACATAGTACTCCAAGATTAACATTTTAGAGTATAGCTTTTTCCAACTTCAAACGATTTATTCAGATTTCTCTGTTTGTTGGTCACTTTGGCTTGCCTTTTGTTTCTTCTTTTCCTTCTTTCCATCATGCTTGGAACCTACCTTGTGTTTGGACTTGGAAGGAGTCCAGTCTTCCATGTAATCTGTAATGTTCAAGTGAACTCCTGGATCGTTAGTTGAATAGCTACCGCCCATCATGATGGAATTGTTGACGGCCTGGAAGTTGCTGTTCACATAGGTACTCAATGCTTCCTGCTCTCCCATTGGCAATTCTTCCGGCAGATCAGCAGTTTTCTCATCCATTTCCCTGCGCATGGTGGCACCTACATTGTTTCCAGCCAGTGTAATGATTCTTGCACCTTCATGCTCTTGATCCTCTTCCTGATGATGCTGGTGATGATGACTGCTTGAACTACCCCCTTCAACTTTCTGAGCGTGTAGGATGCTGCTAAGGCGATTCGTCAAAGCAGAGACCATCTCCCCAATCTCTTCATCAATACGTTTATGCGTCATCTCAACTGGGGGGGCACCATCCAAATTTGGATCAGACTTCCTACTGGTGTGTGTTGTTTCAGAAGGCATTGTTGCTTGGTTTTGTCAGAGACTGACTAAAAAGATAAAGATTGGATCGACACTAATGAACTCAGCCAACATTGGCTGTTGGCATCAATGTTTGAGATGAACTGAGGATAGTAGTAGTTGATCTGATCTGGATACAATATATAGCAAGAGATGGGGAAAGGGTACTGTTCCATGGAATTTACTAAAGGTGACGAGTTGAGGGTGCTTTCCTTCCTTCACTTGGCAACTGCAAACAAAAAGTTTTCTAGCCAGCAGAGATTCCATTGCTTTCAATAGAAAAAAGATGAAAAAGCATTGCTTGGCCAGGGGTTAATCCTTGTACCCCCATTCTGGAACACTATGAGTCAAGCTTTTGTGACCATCAAGTTGCTTGCTAGTTTACAACACAAGGGAGGACAATAATACAGCAGAATTAGTTCTGAACAAATTAGGACTTTGATCTTAATAAAGCATTTTTATTGAACTTCAGAATATAAGAAGCACGAGATTTGATCTATAGTTGTTCAATACAGAAAGAGCATATAGTTATTCTATCTAAATCACTAATTATTTCAGATGATCACCTTTGTTTATAGGGCAAATTACACTATACCCCTTATGGTTTAGTGTTTTTTATATAACCCTCCTATGGTTTCAAAAACTATACATAACTCCCTTGTGGTTTGGACTAAAGTGTCAAAGTAACGGAAATGATCATTTATAACAGAATCACCTAAAATGTCAAAAATACCCTTATATAAAGTTCAAAATTATTTATTAATCCCGGGGGAGGGGGTATATATTTTGAAAACTATAAGGGAGTTATATAGTAAAGTATTAAACCATAAGAGGGTTATATAGTAAAACATGAAATCATACGGGGTTAGTGTGTCATGTATTTATGAGGGTAATTTCGATATTTTTAAAAATTTCATTACGAATGACTATTTCGGTTACTTTGACACTTTAATCTAAACCATGAGGGAGTTATGTATAGTTTTTAAAATTATAGGGGAGTTATGTAGAAAAACGCTAGACCACATGGGAGTAAAGTGTAATTTGCCCTTGTTTATATTGAAATCCCAATATTGAATATAAGTAACTAAATACACAAACAATCTCGTTCTAAATCGTCATTATTTAACAAACAAATTAAGAACCTACTAGACCAAATATTTGACTAATTTAACGCTGCATGCTTGCCAACCATCACTACTTGCAAGTGTGGTAGATATTGCCATATAAAGCACAATTGCCAAAAATCGTCATTTTGTCACATGCCTGAGTGAAAAACACCAGAGGAAACAATGCAGCGATCCCCATCAGCTGTACAAGCAATTCCAGAACAAGTTGAGTGCTCAGCAGTAATTTCGTCGAGAAGGTTGTTGTCAGTTCTCACCATTTTCCAATTCCAACTCCTCAGTACTGTATTCGTGCACATACACAGATAAATGGACCGTATCTAAGTGTATATATAAGATAGGGAAAAAATCCATTCGGGTTTTTGACTTTAGCTCAACTTGAAAAACTACCAAAATTGACAGGAAAAATGTTGGAACATTATCAAACTGATCAACCTGTTTCTTTTAATATTCGAGAATTTCGTATCAAAATTAAGCCAACATCTTTCAGGAAAATTGCTATCCTCAGACCATGGTTCGAAGTTTCGGCCAAGACCGAGACGACTCGGCCGAGTCGTCACCGTCTCGGCCCCTACCGATACGATACCGTGACGAAACGATACCAAGATACTTGACTCGCCGAGAAATCGGCCGAGACATCACCGCGACGGATTGACTCGGTTGAGTCACTCCGAGTTAAGACGAGAAATCGGCCGAGTTACACCGTGACGGATTGACTCGGCTATTTCTTTTGCTATTTTTTATTATTTTTGTTTAGCATACTTTTTTTATATTATTAATAATTTTTAGAATATTAAATACTTTAAAATTTGCGTCTCACCGAGACCGCGATCGATATGCCGAGACCGATGTGGAACGTTCCAGGCCGCGACCGTGACCGCGACCACGACTTTGAACCATGCCTCAGACTGCAGACCTTCCTGGGAGACATTCCTTTGTCTCTATCCGTGCCTGTTTGTTCCTCCCCCTCTTAGCCCTCTCCTTCCAGTTTTTATTGCATGAAAATGAGCATGAGTTGGTGCTACTCTATGATATGCCACAGAAAAGTACCAGCTCTGCAAGAGAAACATGCCCATATTCTACCACCCGTTCAAAGTTAATTCATGACATACTACTAACTTGAAGGAAAAAACTTCGAATAAGAAACCTGAGACAGTGCGGCAACAGACCTCCCTCCCCAAGCCTCCCTCCCCACAGGCTGCTTGCTCATGAGCTCATTCCAATGCTTCAGCCTCAGCTTGTTGCACCTTCATCATCCACAAGTGTAGAGGAAAGAAGCTGATTCTGACCAGCATTAGCATCTGAATCTTCTGGATACCCACTCCATTGTTCTTCGAGTATGGATTCAACTCCCTAAAAACTACCTGAACCGCCAAATATACCAGGTGATGTATCTGAAAATGCATGATGAGGCCAATTTGATATGCAACTTCAGATAAAAAAAGTACACTCGACAACAGCAAAGATAAACAATCTCAAAGGACAATGTTAATAAAAACGACTCACATAGCAGCGAATGTCAAACATATCATGAAAGTAAATTAAAGACATAACTCAGCTGAATGCCAATGCTTCCTACAACAATATGCAGTTTTGCGATAGACAGGCTGATCTCAGACCAATGAAGGACAAGATTCAAGAACTAAATAAA